CCCCAAAACCCCAAAACCCCAAAACCCCGACATCTTTAATTTCTCGCAAAATTTGTAATGAAATTAAGATTAAATTGAATTAATCAAGTTTTTTCAATTAAAGAATTAAGTACCCTTAAAGTTTTGAGTTTGATTGGCGGGATGATATTAATTCAAAAGTCTCATTACATCCTAGGTGAAATAGCTTGCATCTTTTGCAACAAAGAAAGACATATGACCAAGTGAATATTCACTGTAATGAATCAAACTTTAAAGCTAGTTCTTTGCCCATCTATTGTCAATGTTATCAGCAAGTTCATCTTTTGCACCAACGAATAGGGCAATTGGCACTTTTTGTATCTGTGTTAGATCAATAATAGGTGGTTCTTCCTGTCCATACCTTTTTAAATTCTCTTGTTTACCAAAATCAAATCTTTCAAATTATCCTTCGGCTCTCATTTGAGCATAATGATTAAGCGTTCTTAAGCTGGAGCCAGAGGGGAAATGGCCTAAATAAACTTAGATTCTTGATTCATCATCCTCAGTCAAATCCTCATCTGTGATCAAGTATAGACTGAAATCACAAATTTTTGGGATTGTATCGCACAAGAAATCCATTGTATGAGTAGTCAAATAATTTGAAGGGAAGAGTTCATAGATACCAAACAGATCACAGACATCCTCTACAGCTTTTCTTGTGAAATTTGATGAAAGGAAGTGCATTATTGAAGACTTTTCATGAGTTACTCTCATTACAGGACCTAAAGCAATAAAGAGAGATATTCTGTCCTCAAAGTAGCTTTCATTCCTTGACAAAGCGTAAAAAAGCTGACTTGTACCCTGAGAGTGGCCAATATAGGCTACTTTACGTTGATAAGTAACTTTTTCAATGTAATTAAGTGCAGCAGGGAGATCATGATCTCCCATTTCTTCAAAGCCGTAATCCCAGAACTACTTTGAGGTCTTAGGTATGTGAGAAGTAAGCGAGTATTTATTTCCTCTATTGTTTCCAAGCCAAACGTCATAACCTGCTCTAGCTAATACAAAGGCTGGTGCTTGAGATGCATGATTCATAATCCATGCATCTGCTGAATCAAATAACCCATGCTGTAAAAAAACTACTGGCTTCTCTAAACCAAGATTTGGGTCGTAATGATCTTTTATCATGCTCTCTTTCTAGCCAGGAATTCTGAATAACTTCAAAATATATTAATCATCCGTAGTGATGACGTGCTCTTCAAAGACGAAACCATTATCCTCAGTAATCTACTTAAAGGATTTATAAACATCTGGGTTATTGGCTCTCATCTATTTCCTTAAGTTAGCAATGATATTTTACCTCTGCTTCTGAAGGTAGCTTTCTAGCACAGCTCACTCCTAGGAGTGTGAATAATAATATCCTCTTTATTAACATATATAATTTATAATGTAGCACAAGATAAATATTTATTTTTTTCTTCTCAAATTTAGATATTATTTTTTTATGGGGTTTTGGGGTTTTGGGG